CTTTGACGATCCTTGGGCTTACCACCTCAACAAGGCGACGAAAGGAGTTGACGTCCATACGCAAATAATGTTTGAACGATGGGAGGTCTTCAGCCGCCAATTCTGTTAGGATACCTGCACAGGAGCCTCTTTCTGCTCTTCTTCTCAGCCAAGTTCTACCTGGACTTTTCTTTTTGACTAAACCTTCACCCTCGTCGTCCAGAAACGTTATCACCATACACAACACAGCTATTTGTTTCCTCTTCGCAGACGCCATGTTTACATTTACATGTATTTACATTCACATGTGTGGAGCCCTGGGAACGAGAAAATGTGAACATCCTTGATTCCCAGACTTCCTCAAAGTCAGTTTATTCATACACGCATGCGTAGCTCATTTGTTTTCCGAAACAATGTTTCCTCGTTTAGCCACTGGGGCAGCAAAAAATTTTGTTTGTTTCCCGCTAATTTAGCCACCCCGGGAAACATAACAGGAAACAATGTTTCCGCAACAAAGTCTCCTAGTTTAGCCAGGCCCTTAGTCAAGTAAAATGTTCATCCCAGAAGGAATCTTGTATAGTTCTAATAGGTCATAATTCATCAACATTTGACACTCCAATACTTCTCAGGAGAAGCGACGAAAATTTTCGCAGCAAACTAAGCAACCTGAATGTTTATTTTAGCGACAGTCAAATCCTTGCCAAACATCTTTTGAAAGATAAACACCCGGCATTGCAACTCAGTGAATCGGCATCTTGCAAATTAAACCAATCAGCACTTTACTCACATCTCTTTAAAGAAGAATTTGAAGCCCACGATGCCTTGGAGGACGTTAAGGCACTTAAAAAAATTCTGTTTCATTCTACTTCAACTGAACAAGGAAAAACTCGTGAATTGTTCTGGAGTTATTAGTGTTGAACAAGCAATTGCCAGCATGTCGTATTTGGATCGACGCCATGAAATTCTTCAGACATTCAGCGGAAGACTTTTCGACCCCAGGGACGACAGTGGTGCAATAAAACAATCAGTGGCTCAGAAGATTGCAGGAAGTGGGCTTCCCTATTCACATCTCAAAGAGTTATATTTAAAGTTCGGAACAAAGGGGCTGCTTGCGATCCTCAGCATGCCTCCTTCCCAGAACACAGCGAGGAAACCTCGTGTCACTCGAACAAAGCGTATTCTCGATGCCATTGCAAACCTCTTTCAGGAAACATTTCCGAAAGAAGAGTAGTTCCTTTGGCTCCATTGTTGGTATATGGTAACTTCATGTTTTTCCATTTAACCACATTTAAACTGCAGAAACTGGCCAGCACTTGTTGTGCTTTTGGAGGTGCTTAACGACAATGTACGTACCTCGCGTAACATTAGCCAGATTTAAATGACCGAAATTCTCCAAAACGTAGCAACGAAGCAAGCTTGTTAACAGCACTTCGAAAAAGAATTTACAGGTCCACTTGAACGACTGATTAAGCTGATAAAATCGACCGAAAATCGAGCGAGCGACTCTTTGAAACAAATCAAGGTTTTGTCCAGCGGACAACGTTTGCGCATGCGAAAAGAGGGATCTTGTAAAGGCCAGATTTTGAAAACGCGCGAGACGCGCGTGGATTTTCTTTAGACGCGAAGTGAATTATTTAAAAAACAAGTCCGGTGACCCCACTATTTTATTTTAAAATTGGGTAGTGTGGACTAAGAGAAAAGTATTGGTAAAATTTAAAAAAATTCTCTGGACCGGATTTATAGCCACTCAAAAATTACGGTTTTTAGCAATTACATTAAATCTGGTCCAAAGATTTTTTTAAACTCTCTATAATTGCTTCCACTTCCATGTAAAATTGGATAAAATTAAGAAAAATACACTACTTTTCAAAAATGGCTGCCGGATTGATATTCTTTTGTTTAAATTTAAATTAGCCTCACCAGCCTCGCTTGAGATAATGTATTCATTTGAATTTTGAACTGGAGAGCGAGGCCAGAATAGCTAATTTAAATTTAAACAAAAGAATATTAATCCAGCAGCCATTTATGAAATTGGTCAATAGGGGTCACAGAGTTAATTTTTGCGCTATTAGCGTTAGAAGCTCCATCATGGCTCTTATTTACAACCATATGCTGTTGCTATTGTAACAGCTGATGACGCCACGTGATTATGTTTTGGTTCACTGATGATCGAGCTATTAACTGTTACCAAGAAACTGGAAGTTGTAAGAAAAATATTATTTTGTTTTATTGAATCCCTCAAATGTAAAAGTGCTAGAAAACCTAAAAACTATTGAGAGCCACCTTAACTCTTGTGTTTCCAAAAAACAAAAACAATCATCTATTCGCATTTGAACAGTTCAAACAATGTAGGACCATCTCCAGTCTCATAGACTGCGTTTAATTGAAAAGCCACTTTCCTGTACAACATGTTAATCAAGTTCAGCCACTCATTCTTCGTTCTAAAATGTCCCATCTTACTCATCGTCATGACGTGGATAATTCGAAAACCCAGATGTAAATCAGTTTTGGTAACATGATGCTCCGTATCTCTGGCTTCAGGGTTGCAACTGTTAACTATAATTAATCTTCCATCTGTAGCAACTTGACGACAATTTTCCAAAACTTTTGCCATCCCGTCTTCTGTAAAATTGACACAGAGATTTTTCACAATGATTATACTTCGATATGACATCCAAGATGTCTCCTTTCAGTGAAGTCACTATTTTGTCTCTTCTTTATCTCTGGTTAGGAACAATTTGGCTTGCTCGACTACATCGGGAAAGTCAAGTAATACTCCTTTAATATGTTCACAACCTGGTAATTTAAGAATTTCAGACAAGAATTAACCCTTTCCTCACCAGATGTCCATGATTTGTTGGCACTTGACCCAGGGGTATACTGTCAAGCTTGGCTGTGCGTGGTCCAACTCCGGATATATCGATCCATCTGGGGCAGCATTCTCATTGCACGATCGTAATTGCGAGCGAATTCTAACTTCCTCAATATTCAATCGCGTCCAGGTTTAAAAGAGCTTGGGCTATTTTTGTCAAATATGCAACCACGACCCATTTAAAACATATGTTTTCTTGTAGTTTCTTTCTTGGCCCGCCGTAGGCGGCGTCTCCAGCTTTAAAAGAGTTCGGGCTAAAATTACAAAAAAATGTGATGCGATCCGTTGAACGGCTGTCACGCAAGAGGTCAATGCCAATGCTCGCTTATGGAGGAATTAAAGTACAGGGATAAAGCTTTAAGATTATGTATATTATGATTTGTAAGTATGTATGGCAGACTTCTTCATAGGCCATTGAAGTTGACCTTTATTTTACCTGTGCGAAAAAGACGAGAACTACTTTATTTGGAAAACAAATATTACTATTAAATCTTTTATTGACCAAGCTTGTTCGGTCAAGATGGCTGAATATTGGCCTTGCTCTTTTTTAATGCGCTTTTGTGGACCGAGACGAAAAAGAACTCGGTCAACATCCAGCCATCTTGACCTCGCGCTTAATCAATAACCTGTATCTAGACGAATAACCGCAACAACTACTTTTGATAAAGCACTGTGAAATAAGAACACAACTCACCAATTCCTCGTCTATACTGCCTTTTAGTTACGAGTTACTCCTTCTGGTAATTGTTTTCTTTCCTCGTTGCTTTGCCCAAGAAAAGTAATGGTTTTTTAAAAAAAAAGATAATAACATTCCAAAAGAGCATCTTGAACCAAAGCGTTTACAATACCGAGTGTAAATAAAGACTCAGAGCTTTGTTAGTTAATTAACTTGTGTGAAAACTACCGCAAGTATTCGATCCTACAATAAAAAAGATGACCACTGGTAAAACCAGGGCAGTTCTCTGCCACATGTTGTGGGGTTAAGACCATGTACTGGACTGCAATAGACCCAATCTAATCAACAAGCCATGGAATTCAGAAGAGGAATAAAAGCGGAGATTGAAACGTGAAGGCGCAAACGAACAAAATAGAGAATAATTTGATTACTTGATATAAATCTTTTTTATGATTCTGACGTAGATAACTAACTGAAGTAAGTAACTCGCTGCCAAGTCGTCTGGGTAAACTTTGTCTTGCCGCTCAATTAACAAATTTCTTCTTTCCAGAAACATGATATATTAATTTTCGTTGTAATCCTTCAGATGATGCAAATCGATGGTGACTCAACTGTGATGTAACGGAATCTCGTCGTCCTTAGTACAACCATACTGGTATGTAGCGCTTTTGGAACGAGCGGGCAGGCTATTGTAGAATTGATTAGTAATTATTATTCACTCACACATTAGGGGATAATTAATAAACATAATTGCGGGTGTTGATGGGCAAATATTGAAAATCAGCCGACTTAATTTCATCATACTTGTCAGTACACAAATTAAGAGCAAGTAAATTCAAGTGAAAATGCACCACAAAGATTAATTATGAAAATCGTTCAAACTTTAAAACAAAGAGACCTCAACGAGAAACTGCTACTATTTCGACTCAAACAACTTCGCTTTTAAGCTATAAAGAATTAGTGGTGATAAATAATAATTGGACATTGAGTAATTTCTTGACGATTAAATCTAAATCCAAAGCACCATATGGTCAGTAACAAAGAACTTTTACTCAAACGCAAAACCTTCGGGGGAAAAATTGTGATTCCATTGAGCAAGGTGACTTGTTTTTCGCGGATTCAGATTTTGATCCATCGAGATGATAACCTATCATTTATTAGTGCGTGCGTGCCTACGCTGTGTAAGCCCTCATCCAGTCGATCACAACTCATTTGATCAAATATCTAGTGTCGTCCAGCTCTTCTTATAAGGGAGTTATCTTCATTGAATTTTAAGACTTTTCATATTACTTCTAGCAAAAAGGAAAAAGATAATGGATGTAAAAAAGACCTATACTAAGTTGTTAACACTCTTCCAAATTGGCAGGGGATTAGGTTAAGGACCTATAGGTACCTTTTCCCCAGGTAACAGCACCTTCTTAACTCTTCTAGGACGAACCTAAATGTTTAAACTATCATGAAGCAAAAAAAGCATTTATTTGTGAAGCAATTTATTGAAATTGAGGGGGTGTTTATAGTTCCCTTTCTTAGCCTCACCACTTTGAGCGTCAAAGAGGTTACAATGCATTAAATTCTAGAAAAAGTTTATTCAACCCATTTTGCAATGGTGTCGTCGTATATGCTTTCCTTCTCTCAATGCATTTACTATAAGATGCTCATAGCTGAAAAGTGATTCTACATTATAAAGCAAAGGCAAAACAGTATTGTAATCTATAAAGGATTATAGTCTTATGTTTTTAAAACTAACACACTTGTTTACTATTTGGTAAAAGTTCGCCAAAAATATGACATATTTTGCGCCAAGCAGCTTCTTTAACGAGTTTCACTATCACGATCACAATAGCTTTTGTAACGAGGTTGGGTTTAATCAAAAGCTCTTCAATGCATGTTAGCTTCTAAGAGACTTGCCAATGTGTTCCAAGATGCATACAAAAACGGACGACACCATCTAACTATTTAATCCACAGATTGAGAGAGTAGTGGTTATCGTAGCTGCAGTCATCACCAAAGTCTCTTTCGCAGCCGCTAGGGTTACTGCTAAACCGGGCAGCATTTTCTTCTGTGATAGCAATCCCATGATCTGCCCTTTTACAGCCATCTCCTCCTCCACCGATCATCATCACTGCTCCATCACCAGTATCCCAGTCACACCAGAATGACAGGTAACGACTACTTTTAAGATTGCTGCTGCAGTGCATTTGACTGAAACCCGTTGTAGAAGAATAGCTGCCACCATAATTGTAGATGTAACAACTTTTGCGACACGCATTATTGTTCCAGACAGCACCATTTCTGAAGTTACCGTAACTTGCTAAGAAACTCCTGAAGGTTCTCCCTCCAATGCAGCTTCTGGTTGCTAACAAGGCTGTGTTGGAGCTGTCATCGCTTCGGGTTATTTTGACGTAATCGCCTTTGACTAGCCAGAATGCAGGGGATATCATGTCGTAGTTGCTTGAAGTGCTGGTAACGCTGCCGTAAGAAGATGTGCGGTCGTACCACCAGTCCCCGCTGTATTTGACCCAGTTTTTACCATCATTATTTGAGAAACGAGAGATGAGAGTCCAACCGCCATTGTTATACATGTCACAATATACCTGTATGAATTGACGTAAAATGTGCTCAGCATTTTCCATTAGGGTGGAGGCTACTGTTCATGCCAAAATTAATTGTTAATGACAAGAAATACAAATCTAGAGACTCATTGTAAACTTAAGACAGAAATTGATCATCTGTTAGATTTGACCAGTAGTTTATTCTAAACATGTAGATAGTGATTTTCGTGTGCTAATTGGCTACAACGTTTACTTCTGAGCCGGATTAAGTGATTAAAGGGGGTGGATTTGACCGAAAATGTCAGGCTTTGGAAATACTCACGCTTGCATTCTTATTTATTGTGGCATGAAACTTGATTCAAATTTTCGAAAAGCTTCCCGATTCAATTTTACCTCATTCTATTTGATTTTTGCAATTCCCATAAATTTTAAATTTGGGGTCTGTTATGTAATCCAACAAACCTCTTTGTTATATACTAAAAGAAGCCATTCTCTTTCATGGAAATCAGTGGACATCTTGTTACCTCAAAGTCGGTGAGTTGATTGTTCATCACAATAAATTCGGGTGAGATTCGCTTTATTTTTTTTTGCTTTTGATTAAATATTCTTCAGGGACGCAATAAAGGACAACTTCGCCTTTCACATAGTTTGTGGTACGACTAACTACGATGTATGTTACAAATTGATTGTAGGTCAGAAAAAGTGATAACATGGGTAGCTCCAAGGAAGAAAATAATCAAGTGAGTCCTGTATCCTGATTGAACCCGGAAGGACAAGATGGGCCTATCCCCATCGCTCGAAATTACCGGCAACTTTAGAGCAGAAAGCTTCTTTAGATTTTGAGTCTCCTAGAGTGACAGAACCTCAAGGTTCGATTTTAGGCCCATTATTGTTTATTCTAGAAATTAATGACCTTCCTAATGTCTCTGAATTATCAGACCCTCTACTTTTCGCTGATGACACCAGTATCTTTTATTCTCACTCAAATCTAAATTGCTTAGAATCCATACTTAATGATGAACTCTAAAAGATTGACGTTTGGCTAAGATGTAACAAGCTTTCAGTTGATATAAAGAAAACCAACTATATAATTTTTAAACCCAGACAGAAGAAATTTAACTCCAGCATTTCTCTCTCCTTTGGAGGTAAACCCCTACAACAAACTAATGTAACTAAATTCCTTGGGAATTTAGTTACATTAGCTTGTTTAGTTACATTAGCATTACAATCATCTCACCTGGAAATACCATATCAGCTATGTATGTAAACAAATCGCTAAATCAGTAGGTATTATATTTAGTTCTCGCTTTTCCCTACCCTCTGCAACCAAACTCACTTTGTATTACACCTTAGTTTATCCTTATATCGTCTATTGTAACTCCGTCTGGTCGTCCACATACGTATCTAACTTAAATAGAATTTATTATTTGCAAAAGCGAGCTGTGCGGGCTATCACCAACTCAGACTATCGAGACCACTCTGCCCCTTTATTCTCCAAACTAGGAATTTTAGATATTTTCCAAGTCAATACGTTTGAAATCGCCAAATTTATGTTTTATTTCAAAAATAACTTATTGCCCCCATTGCTTCTCGATCTTTTTGTAAGGAATAGCCAAATTCACAACTATGGTACCAGAACAGCCAGTAATTATCGAACGCATTTGTGCCGTACAAATGTCAAGCAGTTTACAATTCTCTACCAAGGTCCTAAAATTTGGAACTCTCTCCCTATTTCAGTCACTCGTTCGTCAAACTTTCTCAGCTTTAAAACGAAATTGCAAGAGTTTTTACTTAAATAATCACTGAATTGGCCAAGCCGCACATTCGCAGCACTTTTTCTTTACTTAATTTATTATTGTAAGTGAGGTGGCTCTCCCATAAGCCTGGTGGCTTCTTGGGTCTCCTCGCCTTCTAACTGTTATCGCTGTAATTAAATATTTTTTATTGTTAAAATAAGGCAAATAAAGATGATGATGATGATTAAGTCATTACAATAATCCAAGCACACTACACATGTAGTTAGTAAATATTTTACTCAGTCAAATATGAACATAACTGTGTACAATGTATAAAAATACTGAGTTAATGTGTATAGACAAAACAGATCGCTGTTTCTTTCAAGACAAAGTTTATCTAATCTTAGCTATAGCAAATACCTATAGGGTGGTTTTTAAAAAACCTGTGAAACAATTAATACTATTTACTTTCTAATAGTGCCAGTATTAAACAATAGAAACAAAAGCATTTAAGCAGAAAAGCACTAAACATGTACAAAACTTAGTACGTGTTTCACAGGCTTTTGAAAACCATTCTACCTTCACAAATATATTGTTTACACTCTGATAGTACTAAAAAGTGTGCAACATAATTTGGGCAAACCACTAATTCCCATTAAATTTTGATTTGCCTATTTCATTGTATAGTTTTCTTAAATTACACACTTTTACTGAAATGAACACATTGATTTTGACTGTTTTAAACTGAACGAGCATTCAATTTAGGAATTCCATACTTGACTCTAGGATACACAAGTTCTGGAACAATCCAGTCATTAAAAAAGGATTCTAGCTTGGGCAAAATAGACTTCCAGCGGTCTATTGAAAAATGTACTCTTTCACAAAACAGTGAATCACAGCCTGAACCCTTTACAACAAAATCTGTCCACTTTCTTCCAGTAACAAACATTTGCTGATGGACTTGGTAGAAGTATTTGTGTTTGTCATTTAATCTCAATGCATTACTGTTCTTTTTGCAAATGCTCTTGCGTAACAATGCCTTTTCTAGTGTTTCATCCTTTGATGTCTGGACATACTTAACTTCTATAAGTCCCTCTGAATCAGAGGCTGATGGATCATGTACAAGGCCATCGGGGCTAGCACCAAGGTAACCATGTTCTTTTGAAACAAAAAACCCACATTTTGAGACTGTTATGCCTTCATCTCCTTGACTTTGCTTGAGAAGCTTGTAATCATTGATAATCTGGTCTTCCATTTTCAGTCCTTCCTCCATTGACTTACTTTGATAGGCCTTGTTGTAACCAAGTATATCTTTAATTATCTTAGTAGGGGACGTACTTTCTCTCTGTACAGCTACACGGTAACATTTTGTGGCAGTAATCCTTGGTTGTCTGTGGCGATGCCATAATTCAGTGTTTGATTGACCTCTAGTTTGTTCCTCAATATCTTGCCTTTGTAAATCATCAACCATAAGATTTCTCTTTGCTTTTTCAAACTTTTCTTTTAGCTCTTTTGCTGACACGGGATGACATTTGACTGGTGAAAGCAGAGAATCCTTTACATCCTGAAGTTTCTTTACTTCCTGAGGCAGTATATGTGTCCAAGCTACAGTGTTTCCTGATACCCTCTGGTACTCCTTCATCATTTCAAAAAACCTTGACTTGTTTTCATCGCGACAAGCATTTTGGTTTGCATTTACTGGAGAGTGATGAAGCTTACGTATCTTCTTCTCTTTCGTGTAGTCGTGCTTCACAAAAGTCATCTCATTTATGGGCTGTATTGCACCTTTTCTCTTTCGTGGCACATTCCACTTGCATGGTTTGGAGGTGCATGACTCATCAGACTCATCCAGTTTTTCCCTTACTTTACAATAGTTTTCTAAAGCAAAAAGTGTTGATGCAACATGGTTACATCTCCCATCTATGCCAGCAGGGCATTTGCAGTGGGCTCTTAGCATCTTTCCAAGTGAACTAATAACTAAGTAGCATGTATAAACTTTGTCCTTTTTCATAGATGGGAGGACTTGGCTTTTGATGTAGTGCTTGCCATTTTGTTGTAGGTGGCCTATGTACAGGACATGACCAGATTTAAAAAAGTTGAATCCTTTAACAAGTGGCTTAGCAGTGGAGAGCTGCTTTTTACATTCTACACCTTCGATCATAAATCTCCACACAGTTCCAAATGATATTTTTGGTAGTGCCTTTATATCTGGTTGGAATCCTTCTTTTGGGAATGAATCCTTTACTTCAGGCTCTTGATTCTCAAGTACGCCAAGTTGAGCTTTTTTCCGTAACAAATTGACGCCGCCATCCGGATCACGCAAGTATTTAACATCAAATCCATGCTTGATGTAGTCGTGTACTCTATAAGTCAAAATTAGAGCACTCATAAGTACGAGAGGACTTTATTAAATTCGAAAATTTCGATTATATTAAATTTTTACTCTTAGGAAATTTTAATAATAATTCTGAAAAGGCATATAATTACAAATAAAGTTGTTATAAATAAAAATAACTTATTGCGTGTAAAGGTTCTTAGTTTAAAAGTTGCCAGCTTCGATACGAACCTCGACACTAAAGCTTTCTTTGTTCCCGTCGTTTTTGCACCTCTGCAAAGCAGCCACCTCTTCAACTGGACAACGCTACATTTTTCAACAGAATCCCTTGGAAGTTTTGCCCCAGGAATATCTTCCTGAGTTAGTTTAACAGTTAGTTTGGCTTTGCTCTCGCTTTCAGCCATATTGATTTGGAAAATCTGTCCCTTCAAACAATCCATAGATGCTTTGCGGTCCCAATTCGGACCCAATCCCCAACTCGTTTAGAACATGGGGAATTGGCCAAGCCGCACATTCGCAGCACTTTTTCTTACTTAATTTATTATTGTAAGTGAGGTGGCTCTCCCATAAGCCTGGTGGCTTCTTGGGTCTCCTCGCCTTCTAACTGTTATCGCTGTAATTAAATGTTTTTTTGTTGTTAAAATAAGGAAAATAAAGATGACGATGATGATGATAACTTCTTTCGGTTGAAACGCTTTAACTCTTGGGAAGAGATATTTAGCAGACTCAATTGCGTTAAGAAGCTAAGCTAAGGGAATAACACGTGGCATTTCCTTCTTTTAAATAGATTTCTGCTGCCTTTTCGCCCATTTGCACTCCTAAATCATTCGACGTCTTTCATATCTAACGTACTGAAAGAGCGCAAGTGACCCTTTCATTTTTATTTGCAAAGAACTGAAGCCTGCACTCCTTTTCAGCGGTTGCTACCCACGCTAATTCAACCGATTCTGTCTATTTTAATGCCAGTTGAAAAAGTTAATTATCCAAATCAACCGAAAACGGCTTTTCCCAAGAGAACATGGAAAAATCCATCCTACGTAGAGGACACGACCTTTGTTCCAGTCGAGTCGTATTGAAAGGGCTTAAGTGGCAGACGTCATTTACCATCAAATTTAACTTTGCCATATATGAACAGTCTTTTTTACTTATACAGCGCGAGATAAAACAAAGTCGTTTGTGAAAGATCACATTCTTTCTTGATACAACTCGTCAGGAACGTAATGTGGTAACGAATGATAGTTGAGAGAGGAAATATTGTTAATAAAAATGACAGAGACAGAGAGACAATGTAGAGTTCACTGAAATTCACGTGCATTTAGACCTTACGCCCAGCAGAGCGGTATATTAAACAAAGAGGTGAGGGGAAAGTTTGCTATATTAAGAGGTGAATTTCTGACGTGGAACAAAGAAAATAATTTTTTAACCTCCAACCAACAGAATTAATACTATTATTACTCTACCTGAAAAGAATTGCTATTGACTTTCAAAGAATATGATCCACTTGAGGTAGAACCAGCTGCCAGGAGATTTTTGCACGACGTTCTTGAAACAGCTTTGAAGAGAAATGGCAAGATAGAAGCTAATATGTAGCGTCACTGTAGCAAATCTTCGTGCTTGAAAATTGACGAATAGGTGATAGGCACCAACTATGATCAACATTCAAAATTTTTGGTAACTTAATTTGCAATTATTTAATCTGTGCTTGCATTCGGCTGAGTATTCGAAAAATTATCGATACAATGTCTTTGAAGCAAAGCTACTCTTGCGTTGACCCTAAGAAGCCGATTTCAATTTCTGCTTTTATTCCCCTTTAGATGGTTTATGCAATCATTAAAATAAACACTCTTAATTTAAATGCAACCATAATAATTCCAATGGACCAATGTACCTTCACAACGCCTTCCATCGAACGCGCTTGGACACACACAAGTAAAGTTGTAAACTCCATCCACACATGTTCCACCGTTAAGACATGGATTGGACTTACATTCATCCGTTTCTGAAAAAAATAGGTTGTAGAGTCTTTCCTTCATTATTCTGTGTTATATTTTTTCCTGGGAAATCTTACTATGTGTGAATTATTTTGTGGATAGAAACTTATTGGGGAAATGAATCGATGGTTCTTCTACTGGGATTTATGAAATCATTTATTATAAATTATACAAAAAGTGATATGCTTCTGTGTTTCATGATATCCATCAATGCTGATAAGGATTTGATCAGGTTCTGGTTATTTAAAGATTTTATCAAACCTTATCATTCCTGCCTGAATTTCATATCGTAAAACTACTCATTCATCGTTCACTTGGGGCGAAATTTTGACGAAGAGAGAAAATAAAGGAGTCTGTAGCATTAGAAGAGAAGCTCTTTCAACAAAAAAAAATTAGGACAATTAAAGAATGAGCATGTTTTCTTTCAGCATTTGGTACACATCCTTCGTCCTTCCCCTTCTTCGTAACTTTAGAAAATGTACAATAATTATGCATGCGTCACATCCTCGGAGACCCAGGGGCTGTGGGTCGATTTCAAGTTAGGGCATGAAGAGCCCCTAGGGACATTGTCTTACAAGACTAGTTCCAAACGGTCGCAGTCGTTCTACCATCTGATTGGTGCCAGAAAATCTTTGTGTTTCTCTGCCCAATCCGAGTGAAGTGTGCTTTAGAGTCCTTTCGTGTGTTTTAACACGGACATATACCAGTAGCTCAGTTGCTCGCTATGTTTGTTTGGACCTTGTGACGGAGATTTGCTTGAGGTGAAAAGTTTTCAGTCTCAGCACACAATGCAAGTGAAATCGATCATGTCCGCGAAAATCTTACCGGAAATTATACTGAATACTTTCGCAGGTATCACTAGAGAACGTGTTTTAAAGTTTGCGAGGTTTGTATACAACACGATGGTTGCAGTCATTGATATGTCGCTTTAAACGTTAAACGAGATTTAAGCTTAAATCTTTCTAGATTTTTTGCATAATTTGCTGTGACTGAAACTTTGCCAATCCCGTGAAGTTATTTCGTCGCACGGGCCACGCAGGTATGTCGAGCAACTGGTACTTGCGCAACTTTCTGTGCGTGCCAAAATCTAATCTCATCTTCGCTTGAAAAAAAAGAAAAGCTAAGCGTGGAAACTTTTGCTTATTAGATGTGGGTAGATGACCCTGTACTACTAAGCTGACATTTGCAATAAAGCAAACCCGCCCTTTCCATCCAATATTTCTTGGTCTTTGGTTTTGTTTTTCCCATTGAAA